TTATTTTTAAATAATCAGTTCAGAATAGATATATATCCCATGGCTGGCTGGATGTCACTAGTTGACTATAACTAGGTTGTGGATTTTTCATGTCATTGTACTATAGAGGACTAATTTGTTGAATTAAGTCAGTTAACAAAGGCCTATATTTTAGAACTTAGTAACTTTGCTCACATTGATTTTTAAGGTATGAAAAGTTTTTCTTTGTTTCTCTGTTTATATAAAAGTAGCTTGATGCTAAACTTGTATAAGTTCAACTAATCTCATGTACAGCATATCATATATTATTTATTTTCTTTTATGTGGTCTCAGTGGAATTTTTATATTACTAATTGATGGCTTAAATCATAGCTACTTAACTGATAATGCTTTCATAATTATAAAAGTTAGTAAGTCAAAAAGTAATTAATGCATAATACTTTTTAGGTAAAATTTTAAAACTGATAAAAGCTTTCATGATAGGAAAGTAAATATGATATAAAGTAGAAATAAGTTGTGTTTTAAAATCTTTGAAAAATTGACCCAAGCATTCCTCCCTCACCAGAACTAAAAGTGGAGTGACAAAAACTTCTAAGTCATATCCTCAAATATACAGAGTGTTGGAAATATTTTTATTGCCAGATAAGATGCAGTTTAAGATATATAGAAATTTGGTTACTTTATATTCCACCTTATTTTTTTAAAACTTTTTTTGCAGGAGTCATTTGAATTTGATATTGCACCATCACTCTATGGGAGAAGAAAACTTTGTATTGTTTTTCTTTTTTGTACATTGTATAAGTTATTAAGGTGTATGCAGAATTTGATTTGGATTATTTTAAAAGAATGTATTTTCTTTTACCTTTAAACCTATGTAACAGAATCGGCTCAACCCAATAAGAGACTCAGAGTTGGTTGCATGTGGTGCTGTAAGACCACTCCAGAACCAATGTATCTCCAAATTTACAACTGAGAAGGTCATTGGAATCATCAGCCCACAATCAGTCTTGATTGATAGCATGTCACATGTTAAAGACCTCTGACCAAGATGGGGCTAATGATCTGCTGCATTTGATGCTGATGATTCATCCATGAGTGATGAGTTGGAAGTAGGTTCTCAAGTTTTTGACGTGCCTCCTGATGTGGTGGTCATGAATGGTGACAAAAATGTGGATGAAGTGCCGCCTTTGTGTTATTGTAGCGGTGAGGATGAAGTATCTTTGTGAGATTGGGGTGAGGTGTAACAATTGTCAACCTGATCAGACTCGGTTGCATGTAATGCTGTAAGCACCAGGAGTTGTCCTCTTCCACAATGGGCTGTTGAGAGAAGGTGGTGCTGACTATTTGCTCTCAACATGCTGACGTGCAAAAAAACAGACAAGATGAATACAATCTGATATTTGAATTGCTATCTTGGTTAACAAAAAAAAAAATTCTTGAACTAATCGAGCAAGTGGGATGATCTTAAGGGACTTTATCTTATTTTGGTTTGAAGTTTTTCTTTTTTAATAGTTTAGATTTCTTTTTGGGAGTACAGTCATTACCCTAAAACTTGAATAGAATTATTATCCATCATGATTTTTCTTTTATATGATCAGTAGTTAAATTTTTCATTTGGTAAAATATTTCTTTATTTTTATTTTGAAAAATTTTTTAAATATCACCTTAGTTATTACTTGCGGTTCTTCAACCCAGTTTGAAAGAAAACAGAAAAAAAAAAAAGAGGATAAATACTTTAGCTTAAAATAGAAGCGAATGCTGCTTGATAAATATTCTTTACTTACATTTTTCATTGTTTCATTCTGATGAGTTGTTAAAGTGCAAGATAAGTAACACGATTAGAATTAATAAAGTTTGCAATGAAAATAAAACGGCAGAGATGAAACGGCAACAATCATGCAAGCAAGCAAACAATATAGTTAAAGCAAATCAAAATTGGTAAAGCAAAAGAATTCACAAACTAGGAGTTTGTGTTTGTACACAAAAGCAAGGTCGGACAAGTGAGCACATTATGTCTGTCTAGTAGTTAAGGCAGATCTGGACTGAGATTATTTACCTTAGCCTCCCCACAAGGCAGGATGTGGCACAAGGCCAATTTTATGTGGGGAGATTCTGAGCTTGGCATAAATTCCCCCGTAGATCCCCGCATACATGGAGTCGGGATTTTCTACCTCCCCAGATGTGACTCTACACTTCGGGATAGCCTTGTCTGGGTTTCCTCTCTGCCCAAAGGCAGAATTTGACAAGTCAGCCTGGACCACCAGATCTGGACTGAGTCATGTCAAAATTCAAGCTGTTCATGGGTTTGTTTTGTTTTTTGTTTTTTTTTTGCTAAGAAAAATATCCCACCATGCATTCTGTGTCCTTCTGACTAAGATGGGGATGGGGAAAACTTTTGCAATCATTCCCATTAGGAAATCAACACGGGAATTTAAATAATTCAGGCATCTATTTTTTTTTTTTTTTTTTCAGAAAGTAATTTTTTGTATTTGACTGATGGCAACAATTGCTATATTTCTGAAGTTAAACTTTTCACTTTTGGAAATATTTTTACCATTTTCATTTCAGTTATAAAATTACCTGCACCTTGTTTGTCTTTTTAAGATTTGACACACACACACATATATATATATATATATATATATATATATATATATATATATATATATATGACCATTTGTCATGCTAAAATCATTGTATATCGGCTAAATGTTTGTTTTTAAAAATTTTCAAATTAAAGAAATGAAAATGTGAACAAAGTATTTTTGCATCTTTTGGGATGAGTTGTTAAAACTCTGATACCAATATACACCTTTGTCATTTAATACTGCAAGTGCTTCTTTTCCAAACTTATGTAATTTTTTTTTTTTCAATAAAAATGTAACGACAGTGATTTCTGTAGTGAGGAGCAAGTTTTTGAAGTGCAAAAATCATTTTTCATAGTTGATTAATGTAGACTCCAAAAATTGGGTACAAACACTCAAAAAATACAGAAAATGGATAATACATAAGCAACTGATATCTTGTTATAGTCTTTATATATGTCATTTGACACTGATGAAATTAGAAACCTGGTAGTTATTCATCTTTCTGATGGTTTGCTTGGTGCTTAGATCTACTGATTGGTGGTTCAGCCCAAAGACAGTTTACATCTGCAGTTGAAATGATTCATATTCAATCTTTGCCACATCTACAGTACATATGGGTACTTGTAAAATCTCCTGTCTTAGGCAGTATTAATCTCTTGTGGATTTTTCTTTTTCTGCATTTGTCTTCAAAATCTTTGAATGTCTTGTGTCTGAATTTTGTTGATAAAAACTGAGTGGACAGTCTAAATGTGAGTTTATTTCTGTAAAGATGCAATGTTTTAGTTAAGAGCAAGATTCATCTTCAGGTTCTTTGTTTAGGTTAGCAGTTTTAAATTCTAAACTGTTCACATCTTTTGGTTGTCTAATGATTTTTATGTTGATTACATAGAACTGTTTTTTTTTTTGTTTTTTTTTATCCCATCAAATCCTAATCCTCTTTAACTTTCATATTTTTTTATTATTTATTTTTTTTATTTATTTTCAGTGTATGTGTCGACTATTTTTAAAGTACAAAGTGAAGCTTTAAAAATTTCAGGATAGGTAGTATACAATGTGACTTTTTAAATAGGATAAATAATTTTTAATCTAACTTTAACAGTATTTCAAATTTTGTTTGCAGCACTGAAACCCTTTTTTGTATATTTATTAATTATATATAGCATTGAAATGTTGAAAAAATGTACAATGTGTGGGCTTTAAAGTCACTCATGGAATATAGTAATCATAGTCAAAGGAGACATGGAAAATCTGGTATGATAAGGGTACACTAAGATGTGAGAAGGGTATACTTTTTACCTTCTCTGGAATAAAGGTTTAGATAATTGACAGGGAGTAAGGAAGTTAAGAGGCAACCTATATTGGTTTGTTGGCCAGGTGCATAAGTTGGGCAAGTATAGATTTCAACAGCATGTAAGCATTCTTTGTTTAGCAAATAAGGTATTTTGTATGTCGTTTAGAATTACCTGGCTACTTGTGTAGCTGTTATATCTATGTGTTGCTCAAATAGATTGATCTAGTTGATAGATTGATGTCAACTGAAATATTATCAAATACGTGAAAAAAGGATTAAAATATCCAAACAATTAGAACACATCATTTATGTATTTAAAAAGAGGGGAAAAAAAACTTTCTATAACAGATCCTAATGTTCCTTTGCTAGAAAAACAAAAGAAAATAACTTGTGAAATTATGACTATTTAAATCCTTTCTCTTGATTTTCTTTTATCTTGTAAAATTTGATATTGCATATTCTTTTAATGATTTATCCAAGTTATTGTAATGACTTCAATCACTCAATGTAAAACATACATAGACCTTTACAAAGCAGAGAATATTGCCAGATGTTAATTTTATGTGCTCTGCTTGAAACTAATTAGTTTCAAGTGGGGCTGTTTTTAATGTTTAGAGTTACCTATGAGTTGCAAATTCTTTTTGATCTGTTTAGTTTTAGTAATTAGATAATAAAGGAAGATCATGTAAGTGAAAATAGTCTTGAAGTGAAAATATTTGCAATATAGAGATTAGGTTAAAATTGGTGAAGGTATAAAACTCATGTTTGGTAAACCTACAAGTAAATAGACAATGGAAAGTTTAAGGGGTGAGAGGGAATGCTTAAAATTATCAGTTAATGTCAGAAAAGCTAGTCATATGTAGAAATGTACGCAAAACTGTCACATAGGTTAAGAGGCTGAAATCAGTAGATATTTTATTTTTAATTTTACTTCATCCCTTTCCATTAAAAGAAAAAATTGTTTTAGAACTATTTAAAGTGAAAATATTTTCTGTTAATTTATAACCATATTTATTATTTTAAGGTGCATTTTTTTTTCTCTCTTAATGAATTAGATAAAATAATTAGATTTCTATTGGTTTTGAAAACTTTGGATTGGATTTTTTAATTTAATCTAATTCCTTTCTTTTTGCACTTTTCAGGTTGAAACTGAAGACAACCTGCTCAATCAGTAAGTAAAATTTGTATATAATTTCTCTAATTCTGTTAAGACTGCTGTGTGCATGCGCAGACTGCAATATATATATATATATATATATAATCACACACACACTAAGATCAATTTTAAAAAAATGCTCAATATTTAGAATATATAGAGCACAAATAATTTTTAAAAATTGAAAAATTTACTTACTGTAAATTAATATTAATTTTTGAATTATTTTTATTCCTCACCCAACTACATAGTTTCATGGTTCATGTACACTTTTCAAGGGTTAAAATGTTTTTATATAAATGTCCATTTTTTTTTTTTTTTTTTTTTTTAAATATTTTCTGACTCTGCATGTGTCTGTTGTGTATTGGAAGCATACTCTAAGATGGATTGGACATGTGATTGAATGCTGGCATGCAAACATCAGAGTTTTAAAAAAAAAAAAAAAATGGAGATATAAAAAGTAGTGGTGTTTAATATAACATCAATCTGCTAAGTGACAAGTTTATATTTCCATTAATCATGTGTAATGTGATAAATTAGTCCTTGTTCTTATTTATGGCAGCTTTCTCTCAGTTTTTATGTTTGTTGCCTTTGTCAGCTGGCATTATGATACTAGTGTCATTCTGTAAGATCTTCCTGATTTGAATCTGACTCCTCTCTGGGAGAACTTACATTCCAATAGATAATCTGATGGAAATGTTGACATTCTGTGTACAGACAACATTCTTCCAACTAGAGTTTGGCGTATGTCAACAGGAAGAAGGCTTGGCTATGGGTTCACCATTGTCACCAGTGATCACAAATATATACATGGAATACTTAGAGGAAATGGCTTTAGGAATGGCACCACTGCCTTTGATCTAGTTCATGATGGAAGAAGAAAATAATAATCAGCTAGCTTTCCTGAATGTACCAATAACTTACACAAAGAATGGGCTTAAAAACCTCCATATATCACAAGCCAACCTTCACTGGATAATACCTCAACTTCAGTTCCCACTATCCATACAATGTGAAGAAAGGGATTCCTACAACACTGGGTAACAATCATAAGTGCCAACCCAGGCACTTACCAACAAGAAATGATCAGCATCAAATGTACCCTTCAGAATAATAATTACCTTGCAAACATAACATTAGCATCCACAGATGGAAACAAGAGTCAAGGAGGAACACCAAAAAATTGTCAGTCTGTATTGCTTTATATCAAGGGCTTATCAGATAAAATACAGAATATCTGCAGACAATACAACATGGAAACAATATTCACAAGCTGTTCTGCTCTATTGAGAAATCTTGGCAAAGAAAAGCCTAACATGGGTAAAAACATGACCAAGAACAGTATGTACTTTATTCTTTGCAGTTATTTCAAGGAATATAAATGTGAAATGAGCTGGCTCCTAAAGTAAGGCTAGAGGAACATCAAACAGCTGTAATGAGTGGTGAGACAATGAAATCTAGCATGGCTGATCATGTATGGTAGGAATGGGGTAGTCATCAGGCTCTATGAATACTGGAGATTTAGATATCTGAAAGAATTGGTGCATATGCTCGGCTATGAGGACCTCCTTAGGTAAACTAGGTAAAATAATACTAGAGAAAATTAATTCTGAACTTAGGATGAAGTTAGGAGTAAACTAGTGGAAAAAACACAAAAAACAATTAGACTGCTTCCATCAGCTAAAAACAAACATAATTGTGATTTTTATACAACACTATAAGATTTCTACCCTTAAATCACTGAATCCATAATAGATAAGGCCATCTCCTTAGGTCAAAAACAAATGAAAATAAGCATAAATTAAATAAAAATTAAGCACTGCTGAAGATAATTATTATTCGACAGCAAAGATGTTGCTAAAGAAAGAAGTTATTGAATGTTACCATCATGAAAAGAGCAAATATATGCATTGTACACAGTTTTCGATAATGTAACATAGATTCGATAATGTAACATATTCGATAATGTAACATACATTAGACTAATAAAACTTTAAACTAAATAACATCCCCCCCAAAAAAAAATTAAACAAAAAGTTTAAATAAAGAAATTAAACTATGAATGCACACATAAACATAAGTAAATGTAATAACGATGTAAAAATGAGTTAAAAGTTTACAAACAACACTGTAAAATATACAAATAACTGCATTCCCATCCACAAATATTTCTATGCAATAACCTCTAAAATAGTGTGAAATATAACCATTACTACCTACTCAGTAGTTGTTAGATAACACTAGACCTTGCTACCCATAATTGACCACCATATATAAATAGTTGAGCCAAACACACATGGCATGAAGTTTGCTGCTTGGTTTTTGACCTTACCATAGAAAAAATTGTTGATACAAATGCAGTTCATTGTTTTATAGTTTATTCAGGCAATAGTTCTTCTTGGGGTTAATTTTTGACATGAGGCCAGAAGTGTGGCATATCTACTGAGATTGAAATCCCTATACAGTATGAATGATTTACTACAGTATCTTGCTAAACATTATTTCATAGTATCATAATCAAAATGACTGTTAGTCATGATGTCTATTAAATTGTGTGTATGAACAGGAATTTCTATATCTTTGTAGATTGGTTCTACATGTATAGTTTACTTGTTGACATGGAAGTAGTAAAAATATAATTTGTATGTAAATTTTTTTTTTTTTTAAATGTATATGCAAATATGTGTGTTTGTAAGTTGTGTAATTGTCTGCTTTCTCTTATTTTTCTTTCTGTTAGCATATTACTTGCAAATTACTAAAAATGAACATCTGGCAAATGACCCTTGTAGGTTTTTATAATGTTTACATGTAACTCTAGGCTTATTTTAATTTAATAAAAAAATCTGACTGTAATATTGAATTGTCAAGGAAGTCATAGAGACAAATGTAAACATTAGCAAATGTTGCTTTTGCTAACCCTGTGTGGGGAAATTTTTCCTGGCTTTCCCAAAGGAAAGGGTTGAGGTTAAAATTTGACAAAATTGAAAAAAGCAACAATGGCTTCAAAGATTAGAGTGGACAATTCTCTATTTTTAGGTGGCTCTTTCAGGCTGAAGAATGACTCAAACTCCTGCTCAGTGTATAACGATAAAGGAGGAAAATGTTTATTTACAATACATGCACAAAAAAGGGTAAAGATATACACAATTATAAGAGAAAGAAAAGAAGAAAATTCCTTTAATTTTAAAGGAAGAAAAAATGTTCATAAAAAAGTCTTGCTCAAAATATTTTCCTGAGCGCCTAAAAAGTTCTTTGAGTAGTAGATTATTGTTAAAGGTTAAAACACCCACAGATTTGTTCAGAGTTCTTGTATAGGAGGAAACTGTTGGAAGATATGAATTTTGTGGTTGAGTGAGTTCTTAGGCTAGTGACATATCTTCTAGATGCAAGGAGGTAGATTTCAATTGGTTTTTAGTTGTGAGCTGACATTCTTTCTCGACAGCCCATAGTAGGTAGTTCTTTCTTGAAGATGACTGCTTTTCTGCTGCCAACCTATGTCACAGATGATGGTTGAATACTCACTGCCAAATAGGCAAAGATTCTCCGAATATATGGCAATCAACAGGCACGGAAAAATTGGAGATTTTTGCCCTCCAAAATTGCTATGCAAATTTTGTCACCCTTTCATTTATTAGAAAATATGTTCTTATCTCTGATAAGAATCAAGGTTTTAGGAGCTGCTTTTTGGAAGCCAGGGTCCAACATGTGAACAAGGCTTTGGGAGCTGAATTTGAAAGCAGGGGAAAAAAAGTTGGGATGAGCATTAGAAAAAGAGGCTAGAATGTGAACCTGTAATATTGAAGTCGTGGTTCTCAAATTAAATTCTAATTAATGATTTTTCTATCAATTTCAAGAGTACAATGTCTAATTCCAAGAAACCTGGTTCCTCAGGCTGCAACCTCACTATTGCATTGAAAGAGATAGTGTTGGGGCTATTCTTTGATGTAAGATTGAGGGAGCCAGACTTGTGGAGGAGGAGAAGACAAATATAAATTCCAAATCTCTGTAATATGACTTGCTAATAATAAAGATGTAAATCAGTGGAAGATTTTCAAGAATCATGCTATGCTTTTTTATTTTCTCTCAGTTTTTTTTCTTAAGATTGCTCAATTCTAATAGTAATAAGTAATTTATTCTGTATGATTCTCATGTGCTGAAATGTAGTCTTTACTTAGCATAGATTGTTTTTGCTACTTGCTAGTGTTTAAGAGAGTTGGTAGTATTAATTTCTTTTGCAATTGCCTCATAACATTTTCAATTGAAACATTTTTAAGTTTTTGTGAATGGGAGATTAGTCCAATGTTTAATAAGTCTCAAAAGGTAAATAAATAATTTGCATAAAATAAGATTTTTGACATGGCTCAATGATTGTAAAGGTAGCATAATGCTCATAAAAAAAAAAAAAAATATTGACTAGATTTTTAACATTTCTGCTGAGAATCAGTATCTGTGTACTCTGTCTCAGCTTAGTGCCATTTCTGAACCACCCTCTGTATGATCATAGTACTGCACCCCTCTTTTTTTTTTTTTTTTTTGTATAAATTAACATATTACATTTCACTTGATTAGATTTGAATTGGTTATCTTGGTGTGTGAAGTTTTTGTAGTTTATACCATATTGAAAAAGGATACAGTTTTTATTACTTTTTAATCAATTCATCCTGAGCAAGGCGATAACACCACTAGAAGTGAAAGAGAATGAAAAGACTTTAGAAGGGAATGGAAAGCCAATCCTAAACCAGAAATGAAGGATAAATCTCAGCTGTTCAAAAGTCCAGGGAGTCTACTCATCTCCAAAAATATAACAATGTGTTAATTCATTAAAATTTCTTAATCTTGAAATTCAAATAACTTGTGTGGTGGGCAGGTATGATTTTGTTTTTAGTATAAACAGCTTATTAACATATTGAATATTTTGGGCTGAACACTGCTTCTAGTTAGAATATAAAATTTCCAATTTCCTCTTAGGAATAATTTTGTTTTCCTTTGATTACATAATTTTATCTTTTCAAGTT